ACATGGATCCACTCAAAACCATTTACTTACTATTAAAGGATATATTGTAAAAGTTATTTTAATATTTATAAAAAATGAAAATCAAATTCTGCGAACCTATACTAAATTGTACAATTCGGTTAATAGCGCGACTTTCTCCATAAATAATGTGGTATTAGTTTTGGAAATTATTTGTGACAATTATGAAAAAAAAAAATTGATTTTTCATATTAATTATGAATCACTTGAATTTCTTATTATTTTGGTAACCACTTATACAACATATCTTAAAAAAAACATCTATTAAATAGGTTTTTTGAGAAAATATTATTCAAATATGCACGATAAAATTGCAAATGTATCTACAAAATAAAATTGAAAATGAGTTATGAAAATTTTATTATGTTATCACAATGTTGCAATAGAATCTCATTGATCTACATTGATACAAATAACGGTGGTTTCTAATACATGTGGTACTCAACTATATACCAAAATATTTTTTATCGTATCTCAAAAAAAAATAATTAATAGTCGTTACCCAACTTTGATGCCTTACATGGTGGATCTTATACTGCGGGGCCTCTGCCCAAAATATTTTTTATCGCATCTCAAAAAAGAAAAAAAAAATTAATAGAATTATTTTAGAATCCATTGATTTATCATGACTCAACCGGTTCACTTTTTCAAAAATTGTAAACGCAATTTCCACAATATCCAAAGAAGTTTATCTATTTATTTTTAATAACAAATCAATCATATCCTTAATAACAAATATATGTTCTACTGCTTTGTTGGGCATCGAACCATTCGAAATATGCATGAGAACGTTGCAAAATAAAAGTACAAAATAAATTTAAAAATCAATTGCAATTCATTGATATAACTACAAAAATATTACAATAGAACATATATCTCAACATTAATAACAAATTTCTCTGATTTTCTATTCATGTGGTAACGAGTCATATACCAAAAATCATCTATTCAAGGAGTTCAAAAATATCCTTTGATTTTATAACTAACTGCACCAATCCGGTTTTTTAAAAATTCATATTGTGATTCACAGGATAATAACAAATCTCATATAAATTAATAAATGAGAAAGAAAATATAAAATATTTATAATATACATTAATATAAGTTATAGAAAAAAATAAAATCATACTAACGTAATTAAAAATTAATAATTTTTTATTTCAAAATAATATATACTATAGTATTTTCACTTAAGAGATTTTATTTTTCAGTTTTAGAATAACTTATGTAGAAGTCGACCCGTAATAAGGCATGGGCAAATGAAGAGAGAGAGAGAGAGAGAGAGAGAGAGAGAGAGAGAGAGAGAGAGAGAGAGAGATTATGTGAGTAGTATTTATTGATAATGTTTGAATAATTAAATTTCTATTCATTAATTATCAATAGGAACTATAAAATGACAACAATTTTATAACGAGTAAAATAAACATATAAAATCATATGTTAAATCATTATATATTGTAAAATAAAAGAAGATATATTAATATTCAATTATTTTTATACTAATCAACATTCATTCATTGGTTTAATACATGGAATTTATAATTACTGTCTCGTGCATCGCACGAGTTACATACTAGTTAATTAATTATATAAACCACTTTAAGAATAAAAGTGATATTAAGACATAATTAATGCTCCTAAGAATAGACCATAAATACACGATATATTTATGGTTATTTCAAGCTTAGTTAATATTTGATTGAATAAATTAAAATTTATTCAAGCCGACAAAACGAGAAAATTTGACATATAAGATTCCAAAGTAGGTGAGTCATCGTCTTAACCTCAACACATTCGAAAATTATATATAAAATGATTTAGAATAAAAGTTGCAAAATTGAACCTTTAGTATGGGGTAAATTGCGTCAAACCCTCCTGTATTATACGAAATCTGCGCGTTATCCACCTGTATTTTAAAAATTGCGCCACACCCCCTTGTATTATACTTTTGATTGCGCACGCTCCCCCCGCCTCGTTTTAGTGTTAACCCCGTTAATTTTTTGCTTAACTTCCCGTTATACCCTCATAAACAAATAATTACAGTCAATCTAAAAAAATCTCTCTCAGATCTTGGACCAATGATAGTAAAAAATGAGTCTCTCCGGAAAAACCTAATTCCCCTGTCCGCCGCCTCTATCGTCTCGCTTCTTCCTGAATTTGTACAGCCTTCTCATCGGCTAGCAGGACTCAAGCGGTGGTCGGCCCTTGGCCGCACGTCCTTGTCCCCGCTCGTGCGCCCTTCGCCGTTCGCTTAGGCCGGGGGGTTGTGGACGACTGGCAGTCGCCGGGTTCTCCTAATTAATTGTTCTGCATCCAAGACCTATTTTTTCTTCAGCGTTTTTTTTCTTCTCGACTCTTTTGTTAAAATTTTTCCGCAGGCATTCTTGAAATCTCTCCTCCGTCTGCCGCCGCTTTCGAGTTCTAAGAGGTCAAACCCTTTGCTTTTTTTTTTCTCCGCTTTTTCTAATTTGTGGGCTATTTTCACTGTATTTGTTTGTGCGAATTTGTCAAAGATTTGATTTTTGTTGTACCCTTTTCCTTGTTTCTGGATTTATCAGATGTTCATGATTTATTATTATTATTATTATTATTTTGTTTATTTTATTTGGTCACCTGGGTTATTTTTGTATTATTCTTGACTTCTTTATTGCTTAATTTTTTTTTTTTTATTAATTTTTTGGTTGTGCTTGTGTTATATGTGGATGTTTTATTTGAGATAGTCAGAACAGTTACTCAGTTGATTAGAGTTTGAGATTGCTTATTTATTAGATTTGATTCACTGTTGTGTAGATATAATATAAGCTTCTGTCTTCCGCTTAACCGTTTCTCTTGATTGAAGAACCCTCAGCCCAGGAAAGAGGAGTTCAATTTAATTTTGGTATTAAGGGGCAAAATAGTCATTTTCGTGAGTTTATGGCGAAAAAATAGAGAAAAAGCCGCACCACACGCGCGTGAAATGTACATTCGTCAAGTTAGACGGTTTAGGGGATAACGCGCAATCAAAAGTATAATACAAGGGGGTGTGGCGTAATTTTTAAATTACAGGGGGATAACGCGCAGATTTCGTATAATACAAGGGGATTTGGCGCAATTTACCCCTTTAGTATGAGTCAAATTGGAAAATGAATCCGATTTTAACTATGCGACAGAATAAAGTAGCATAAAGAGAGTATTTTTTATTAGTAAAAAAGTAGAAACTTTTGCTAGTTATTCAGCCACAAAAGAAGAGTAGTACTGCCGCTAGGCCAATATGTTATGCGAGTAGATGTAGCATAAATATTAAATATAATTTGTTGTTCAGTCAACCTCAATTGGGGTGGTGGCGCAGTTGGCTAGCGCGTAGGTCTCATAGCTTTATAGAGTAATCCTGAGGTCGAGAGTTCGAGCCTCTCTCACCCCAGTAATTTTTTACTTTAGCATATTTATATTATGGCTTAATTGTGTTTTGAAAATAAATTCCAAACTTTTACGAAACTATTTTTCGACCAAGTCTAGTTGATGTGTCCGATAAAAATCTTACATGGCACTTGCGTGGTAGACTAATTTTTCCACATCATCCTCAAGTTTGAGGATTATTACAATGCTGGTTTGAGCGGTAGGCACAAATCACTCCAAATGTAGTTTTCTCACTATGTGCTTTGATATTCTGAGGATAGTTTGTTTGAACTTTAGCATTACTACGAGTATACGACAACAATTAGCTTGTCGTTGTTCTCTCTCTCTCTCTCTCTCTCTCTCATTGGAGTGTATACTAAATTTATGCAACTGATGAGGCACCCAGGTGGATTATTTCCGTGTATTTACTTGTCCAACGAGTGAGTGGATTACGTGTTGCCTGAACCTGAAATAGTGAAATACTCGTGCATCATCTCTACCGATGTCTAATGTATTATGTAAATGTTACGACAGACTATGGCAGTACTCAAACAGCAGTTCCTCAAACGTATAATGATATTTGCCAGTTCGAATACCTGCATGTTGGCTTATTCTAAATATCTGCTATGTTTGATGAAAATTTGCACGAGTTGCATTCTGGCAAGTTTTTTATCCTTACAGCAAATGGGGGATATCGACACATGTTGCTAATGATTATGTTTGAAGTGCATTATACTTCATGTCATGCCTCCGCCTCCGCCTCCGCCTCCTTAGAATTGTGTGTTGATCCAGTGGTAAAAACCGTTGAGAACATAGTATAGTAATCATGGATCTCAAACATTAGCCATTAACACATAACAAATTAATTTACTTGGCGTCCTATATTACCTGTAATTCCCAGAAAAATCAATACACGAATCGTTAGACGTATGCATATCTTGATCGAGTCGTGTTGTGATACTTGCAATTTGCAGATTTGTATGACAAACCTTCTGTGTGTTGTGCTCATTATTTTGTCAAACAGAAAATGACATAACCAAGTCTTGTCGAGGGCCTTTACTCTTATTCTCCACTGCGTGAAAAAAGTCTTAAACCAATCACCAAAGTTGATAGGGAATGTTTCTTTTATTTTATTATTATTTTTTTTTTCCAACTTCGACAGACGGTAAGCTGTTATATGCTGCTTTTGTCAATGGGTATCGAACAAAATCACTATTTTAAGACATATATCAATGCATCAATTGATTATAATTGTCGTATCATCTGATTGCTCTGTAGCAAAATTAATTCTATACATGTCTCAAAAAAACCGTTTTCGAAAACCGGAGTAATCTTACGCGAAATAACACGAGAGTAAATATGGACCATACACCTTATAACACAAAAAAATGAACATATATGGAATCTGATTCCAAGACCTAATGTGTAGTGGGAATAAAGCCAAAAAAAAAAAAAACAGAAGAAAATAATGTGCATCCATTATATTAACTCCCTGGTATTCGTTTTCTTCGGCAGAGGAAGCAAGAATGGCGAGTAAGAGAGCGAGATGCAACTACTGTGGCATGCAGACATCAGTGCCTTCAAAAACACACACAATTCAGTGTCCCATGTGTCGGCACATCACCTTTACTCAGCCTAATAATAATAATAATCTTCAAAATCATCATCGTGCACAGAACTCCATTCACCACATGGCTGTCAGGTGCAAAGACCTCATCAACCGAGCATCAACCAATATTAACACGATGATAGCAACGATGGATACTCACTCGGGGCTCAGGGGTCCGCTGGCTTTTGGCTACCAACAAACAGAAGATAGAATCTTACCTTCCCTTGTTCCAGGCTCGGTGCATGGGAGGAAACGAGCCGTGTTATGTGGAGTTAGCTACTACGGGCAGAGGTGTAGGCTAAATGGGACGGTCAATGATGTTAAGTGTATGCAGTTTTTTCTCAACCAGAGAGCCGGTTTCCCGAGTGAATCCATACTCGTGCTCACTGGTAAGATTTATTTATTTATTTGTTTGTTTTATTTTTCGAACAATTCAAGTTCGGAACAAATTTTGCAGAAGAATCTTTGGACCCATCTTTGATCCCGACGAAGAACAACATTCGTAAAGCCTTACAATGGCTGGTCCAAGGATGCCAGGCTGGAGACTCCTTGGTTTTCCACTACTCGGGCCACGGCTCGCAAATGGAGGATTTCAATGGAGATGAAGTTGATGGGTATGATGAGATGATATGGCCCGTTGATCATCAGACGGAAGGGAAAATAATAGACGACGAGATTAATGCCACGATCGTGAAGCCACTGCCTAGAGGAGCAAAACTTCATGCGGTTGTAGATGCGTGCCACAGTGGGACCGTACTCGATCTACCGTTTGTCTGCAGAATGAACAGGTGAAGTATGTTAATTAGGTGTTGTATTATCTGAATTGTGAGGAACCTTAAAATGAGAAGAGTTTTTTTTTTTTTTTTTCTTGAACTTTTATTTGTTTATTTATTTATGCTGCAGGGATGGGCTCTATATGTGGGAGGATCACGGTAGAATTTCAAGTATCTATAAAGGCACGAGTGGTGGACTAGCTGTGTCTATTACCGCGTGCGACGATCATGAGATTTCGTGGGATACAACGGTCAGAAAACAATCTTTTCAGTTTTTTACGGTAGTCATGTATTAATTTTTTTTTCCTTTGCAAAGTCATAATTTGAATAAGCTAATCAAATAAGCTATAAGCTAGTTTATATGCTTACCAAACACAACTATAGTATTGTTTCATCTGCAGCTTGAGCAAGCTGTCAGAATCAAAATAGATGTTTATTACATACTATTCCATATAGTTAACAGAAATGTATTTGAGAAATGTAATTCATAAAAGAGATTTTCTTAATTAAGATAGTTGAATTATACTTGCATAGGCCTTGTCTGGGGATGCCCCAACTGGTGCCATGACGTACAGCTTCATCCAGGCGGCACAGAATGAGCCTGGACTTACATACGGCCGTTTGATAAACACAATGCGCAGAGCAATTCGCGAGTCTGAAATGGGATATTTCCCAAACGGGGGCCCTGTCAGGTCATTCTTGAAGAGAGCTCTGAAGCCAAAAAATCCGCAGGTTATATATAAATCATTTTTTCGATAATTGCAAAGATGATTCTTAGCTTTAAGCAAGTACCGATTGTGTGCCTTGTTAAACAATAGCTTTAAGCGAAAACACACACTTATTTCGGCAACTTTTCAGTGTCTGTTATATGAACAAAATGGAAAAGAAAACAAACAACATATAATCAATGTCTAATCCTTATTCAGATAACTGCTTTATCTACTGATTTAGTTGAGGATCTTCAGTTTTTCTACTTCCAAATCTGACTACCCTTTTCGTGTTTGGAATTTTCGCAGGAGCCGCAGCTGTCCTCATCAGAGAAATTTGAGGTTTACTCAAAAGCATTTTGCCTGTGATGATCTCTAACAATAAAGAGAGACATTCATTCCATACTACGATATCATTAAAGATTTTTTCTGGGCAAGTGAGCAAATTATATAGCTTATGGAACATATCGAAACACACTTGGTGGAAAACTGAAATGATTGCTCGTAGAATACAGACCTCCATGGTTGTACTAAACTAGAAAAAACGAAAGAAAGTTGACTTCATGGTTTCTTAGTTGACTTCATGGTTTCTTGTTTGGGTCTGGAGGCTGAGAATTGGGGTAATCTTGTAGGGTTTCTTGTTGGGTTGGTTTGTATTATTATTATTATTTTTAATTGTTTAATGATAAGTTGGGGACAAATGAGAGTAGCCAAAGTGCTAACATCATAACTCGGCGCCAACCCGCGGGCCTAAGTGCATTTCGACAAATAAGCTGACCACTCGAGAATTAAACCAGATAGTAAACAACACAACTCAAATAACTGTGGATTAAAAAAAGAGTAGGCAAACGAAATCAAATTATGCTGAAACATTGTGTCCACAACAACCTTCACGACAAAGAAGAATCTTACGGTGGATCATCCAACTTCTAATGAATGTTGGACGATGCCAGAATTAGGTCTGACATGAAACAACGAATGTTATACCTCCCCTCATGATTGGTGTTATTTTTTACCTTCTTTGACACATGAATGTACCAAGTTTGATTGATGCCTGTCAATATACCATACCTGGAAAGAAAAAGATCAATACAGTGAACCAAAAATGAAATTTTGTACCCCATGTTACATCATCAATTCTCCTCAAACTGGACCATAATTGATTGAATTGTTATGATAATTGATATTGTTACTTGATAAAAATCCAAATTGTTGTGAACAACTGCCAAGTTCCCAACACATTCTCTGATCCCAACAAATACTGAACATTAATATAACAATCCTACACAATTCTCCAACAGCAGCTACCTCCTATCCTAGTATACAATACATACATATCACGAAAAGCCAAAGAGCATCCAAACTGTACACACCCACCAACCTTTAAGCAGCATTAGCCTGCACGAGACGCGCACGTGAGGAGCCATACCACCGACTGTAGCACTGCCGGAGGTTCGGCCAATCGGAGGCCGGGCATCGGGTGAAGTGATGGACCCAAACAGACAGGACACACTCTTGCTCCTCGTGCTCCCCAAGGCTCAAGATTATCTCTTCCAACGTCATTTCCAATTCTGCCCTTTCCCCCATGCTTAGAACCGGGGCATCTGTGCCGCCGGTAGCACGGCACAGCAGGGGCAGCCATGTCATTAGCAGCTTTATCTTGGTTTCATGGGTGATGTCGGGCTTTGGGGGCTTGCTCATTTTAGTTCCGTCTTCTTCGTTTTCTTGGTTTTGTGATTCCTTGCTCGTTTCTTTTGCTTGCTTGATCAAGAATGCTGCGTGAAGGGATTTTTGTGGAAGATTATATCATAATGATTGGCAAAGGTCGCTGATCAATAATAATTAATAAGAAAACATCATAATAGAACAGAAAGAGTAGTAAAGCTGCTATTAGGCCTAACGTTTTGGCCGTCATCATCCTTTTTCAATATAAAAGGTGCATACTTTTAATTTTCAAATTGATATATAAAGTATGATATTTCATAAGCATACGATTTTGTTACCAAGCATGATAGGTCGAACTTTTAGGCTTAGACAAGAACTTGTCGAACAAAGAAACATTTTAATAGACGGATTAGCGGCGTGTGCGATAGAAGGGGAAGCCATAAAAGTTTTTTACCTGATACCTTAACGAGCGACCCTTGCAGTCGCGCCTCGGCTGATAGGGCGAGCCAAGCCAAGTTCGAAGCCGAGGCCCATTTACAAACCGCTTCCTCCACGCATCCACAAGCCGCCATCTTTCGAGCCAGCCACAGCAGCTCCGCCGCCAGCTTCTCGGCCGAGATCCCAGGCCCACCCACTACGCCCTTCGAGTTGGCATACCTCCACGCAGCCCGCCCATAATACCCGACCCCTTTTATCAAACGGCTCGCCCTATTGTTGCTACAGATGAAGATATCGCCTCCGGCACAGTCGCCGCCGCCACTCCGCCTCTGCTCCGCCGCCGCCGCGGCCTCGATCTGGCGCAGCGACCTCGCGAACGCAGATGAGAGAACGGCACAGTTGACCTCCCTCAGAACCCGGCTGCCCTCGGACAAATTCTCGTCGATTAGACTCTCGGTCAGCGACCTAACAACTTCGTATTTCCTCGAGCTCACCGGAATTTCGCTCATTATCAGCAGCAGCTGCGACAGAGCCCTGGAAACTCCGGAATCTCCGCCCGCAACGGAGACGCAGAGGTCTCCTTTCCCCGATTTCGGAGGGCAATTGGCCGATGCCGATTCCTTGCGGTCAGGGGTCAAAGAGGAGAAAAGAGAGGGCAAAAGGCTGAGGGAGAAGAGGAAAAAGGAGGCGAGGACGGAGCGTAGGGTTTGGAGCAGCGCGTGTTTTGGCGCCAAGTGGAGGAGGGATTTGTCGGCATGGATGAAGATTGAGGTTAACAGATTTCTCAAAAACAGAGCAACTGTGCAAAATTTTTCCATTATCAATCAACTAATAATTTTTCCTGCAACTTTCTACGCTTTTTGTTTATACCATATAAAATTATAAAGAAATTACAATTCTATGGCTCGAAATTGTTATAATTCTATGGCTCGAAATTTATGGCAAATTAGCCAATCAGGCAATTTCCTTATTGTATTTATTATGGACGTAGGTTTTTTTTTTTTTTTTTTT